GAAAGGCACAAAAATTCGACGGCTGTCAGAAAAAAATTGACAGCCTCCATTCGACAGTTTGCCCCCCCTTCGCCACACAGCACTGTAGAGTGCACGCACTTGTGAATGCAAGATGGAAAAAGACGAACGCGCCAGAGGGTACGACAAGCATTAGYCGATCCCAACCTTTCCCACCCTCACCATATTTCGAAGAGAAGTYGACGGCGCAGCYGAGGAGTGTMGAAAGCATGGGAGTATCAGGCTGGGGAGTCAACAACTTTAGACAGGAGCTGTCGAGAAGCATGCTCTGACAACTGGAGATTTTTTTTCCGGTCTCCGACTTCAACAGCCTGTGTGGCGAAGAGAAACTGTCAAAAATTGCATTTTCGACAGTGGTGCGGCGAGGCCCTGAAACTCACAAAACGAGGGGGAAAAAACGAAGGAGAGACTCACGTGCGAGTGTGCCCTCAGTGAGGGCATCTCAGCCTCGTGACCAGATTGTCAGATTCCAGAAGCGAAAAACAAAAAAAAAAATGGAAACACTCATTGGGCCATGAAAATGGCTGGAGCCTGGATACATTCCTCTAAGTGCCATTGTGATCACGGGTACAATCCTCTGATCACGGATTCCGCTGTCAGATTCCAGAAAGAGTGAGGAAAAAAAAAAAGGGAACACCGACTCGGCCCTGAAAATGGCTGGATACATTTCTGTAAGTGCCAGTGCGATGAGGCTTACAATCCTCTGAGGAGACACACAAAGGGCCTCCCCTCACTACCGTGGTTACCCGCCTTCTACTGTCACACAGACTAGTAAACTATGCCATTCGATGGCATGTGGGCCGAGGCCCCCGTCCACCTTTCGGCCCTCCTTTCGAAAAAAGCAGAAGAGGGCCTGGGGGCCTAGCTCAGTTGGTACGGCACAGAAGTTGCATTCAGGAGGTCGTGGGTTCAATCCCCATTGGCCTCAGGTATGTGCCTGGGCAAGCTTGGTGCTCTACCAGCTAGAGATAACCCGTTGGCCCCCCAAGCCAGCATTGGCAGGACCTTGGCTGATGTTGTTGGCTGCTATGCAGCAACAATATTGGCCATTAGACACAGCCATGTGCGGTTGGGGGGGAGGTAGGGGGAGGTGCAGTGACTGGCCATTGCTGGGCGCTACCTTCTTCCCCSGAATACAAMATACGGTCATTATAGCTGTATCTAGACTGAAAGATGCCTCAAATACAGCTATAATGTTGTATTCGGGGGAAGAAGGTAGCACCGCCTATTTCCCCCGTCGGCAATGCCTGCCCACCCCTCGTCACCGTGATGAGGGACTGGTACAGCCTTGCTCACGCAMCACAGCTGTGGTGCAAACCTACCCCATGGGCTGGTGAGAGATCCCGGTTGGTTGGTGTTCCCGGGTACTATAAATAGACTAGTGAGAGGATGATGCATACTACCAAGAAAGATGAAATAGATTGAGAGAAAAAAAAGGCAGAAGAAACAATTTAAAAAAAAAAAAAGCAGAAGAATTTCCATTGTCAGAGGGTCAACCCTGACAGCCGCGCCTGCTTTGTCCCTTCGTGGTCGACAGAGGCTGTCGAAAACGGCATGGCGGCCTCGGACATCCGTTCCTGCAGGTCCCACAAAGAACAGCTGTTGTGGTCCGCTTGCGCGCGGACTGCGGGGGGGCCAGCGACACTCGCCAGCGGGCTGATGACAGGCGGAGTGTCTGGCCCTGTTCAAGCCRATGATTCATTGAAGTGTGGTGCTTCGCACGCCTCTTGGATGGGGCGGGCCAGCGGAACCTTGCTGAGATGTTACGGGCGGGGGTGGCAAGCGGGTCGAGTGGCGTTGGTGTTCGATAATGGGGATGAATCGTCCCATGTAACATGGCCACATACATCCCCTATGCCTGCATGGCTTGCGCTGTCCCCATGCGACTGCGCACCGATTCAAGAGCGTGGCCACCATCGCCACAGGTGCGTCGTCTTCCTCATTGCGAGAGCAGCGCGCGGGCACCGATAGTGTTTGTTCCTCCGCCAGTTGCGCCATGCATCGTCGTCTTCTGGCTCCCCCCTCGCACTGGGCATGGGCACCACCGACCCAGATCTCCACATCTCCCATGTCACGCCACCATGCCCCACCTGTAGAGCGGGAAGCACTCCATCCGCTTTGCTCCTCCCTCCCACTGGGCATGGGCACCACCGACCCAGACCTCGACATCTCCCCCGCCATGCCACCATGGCCCACCCCAAGAGCGGGAAGCAGTCCCTCCACTTTGCACTGTTTGCAGCAGTGGCCACTCACATCGGGCAGCAGCCCGTAGCCGCTCCAACCTCAGGACAGGGTGGTGCGATCTAGCGGGGAGCAGCCATCCTACTGAGAAAGTACGGCACAGAATGACACTTACAAAGGGATAATTGGTAGAAAGAGCCCACATAATTGGTAGAAAGAGCCCACGCCGAAACCGTTTCGTTTTGGGTGCCCGAAACTCGGCCGTTTGGTTCTACCGGCCCAAACCGTGTTCAGCCTGGGTTAAAGGCGCCTCTTCTACATCGAAATGAATCTGGCGCTATTTATGGGCCAGATTCATGATCCGGTACCCCAGATGGAAGACATTGGGCGGGTAATACCAAACGGCTGAACTTCGGGCGGCCAATACCGAAAAGGTTTTGGCGTGGGCGCCTTCTACCAATTATCCCGCTTACAAAAGCGCCTCCCTCACTCCACACGATGGTCTCTCTCCCTTCACGCAGTGACGTGGTGGTGCAGTGCATCGTCGGGTTGATCCGCTGTGAGCAGGTGGACTTCGCCTTGTCTTCCCTTCGTCTGCTCCTGCCGTTGGGGCRTTGAGTCATTGCAAGCAGTTTGTTTGGCGGTGGGGTAGATGGATCTTGTTCACTGGAGCTATTCGGCCACTGCATCTCCTCTTCAAATCGTGTGCGGCGAGGCTCCAGCAACAACCCGCACCGCATCTCCAGCGCCAACGCAGTGGAGTTCATGAACCTTAACGAAGGGTCGGGGGATCAGCAGGACGGATTGGCATGTCGGGTCGGCCAGCGTCAGCTCCCCATGGACATGGTCGACAGATGTTTGCACACTCCGTCCAGCCAGGCTCGCCACTTTGATGTTTCCACCCACGTGGAAGACGAGCGCTCACAGACTGCCACGTGGTGCGTCACGGGTGACACACTCCCGACCGTCAAAGCAGCATCTCCCAGAAGGAGCCCAGTTTTGGCCGCCCAAAACTCGGCTGTTTGGTACTACAGGCCCAATGACTTCCATGCGGGGTACTACAGGCCCACGCGTCGCTCCAACGGCCCTCCCGGATCATGAATCTGGTGCATAACAGCGCCAGATTCATTTTGATGTGAAAGAGGCCAAGGGTGGTACCGCTGAAGTACAGAATGAGGCCCACATACGGTATTTTGAAAAAGAAGGGCCCTACCGGCTCTTGAATCTGGTGCAAAAACAGCGCCAAATTCCTGAACCGGTAAAAACAGGTCCAGGGTGATGTGGCCACGGCGCGAAGGCGCCTTTCATCCAGGCTGTAAACGCTTGGGCCGGTAGTACCAAACGGCCGAGGTTTGGGCGGCCAAAACCGAAAAGGTTTTGGCATGGGCTCCTTCTACCAATTATCCCTCCTTCGATGGTAGCAACCGCTGCAGTGACGGATCAGGAGTGACATGGGAAAGTCCCGCGTACTCCGCTTTGCTGGCATCTGCCATTGGCCAATCAGGCGGAAGCGTTTCCTGAGTTTCTCATCCGCTGCGCGGGCACATCACGCAGGATGGCGGACTCCCATCCAGGGAGTGGAGGGGCAATGGAGGGACCGATGGTCCCGCCCCTACCAGTTTGGGCGATGTCGGGTTCTGCCAGGGGAAGGGATCTTGGCACTTACACCACSGGTCTCCATGCACAGCTTCACGCTGCCGCCCGTGCTGGTGGAGTCATGAGGCTGGACCGCCATGTGGAGGCGAAGGGCGATCGTCCGACAAAGCTGTCTTTGTGGAGGCAACTTTGTCCAGCAACCGCATTCAGGGTGCCTGCAAAGGASGATCTGACGGGAGTGGAGGCGGTCTTGTCACTGCTGCGGACGACGAAGGAGACGATGAGGAGGCAACGGGGTTGAAGGGAGGACGAGGTGTACGTGGTGGCGCGAAGGGTGGTGCCACGAAGGGTCGTGGTCGTCGAGCAGCGGGAGTGAATGCTCCGCCACCTGGCGGGTCGTCCATAGGCCAATCAACAGTGAGGGTAGTCGCCATGCAATACCATCGCCGCCACATAGGGCACCCGAAGAGAACTCGGGGCCAGGGAAGGCACGCAACTTGTTAGCATCGCCCAAAGGGAAGGAGGAAGTGGAACCATCGCCCAAGGGGAAGGGAAAGGCCCGATGTCCGGACTGTGTGGTCGACCGACGAAACCATCGTCCTTTTTTTGAAAAAAAAATGCTCCAATGGATTCGTGGGGAGSAGCACGTGCTGGGAATTGGGCGCAGCRTATCATATGAAGACATGTAAAAAACAATTTATGAACAAACTGAGGTAGCGTATCATATGAAGACGTGTAAAAAACGATTTATGAACAAACTGAGGTACCGGAGCCATCACCCGGTTTCGACTTGAGAGTATCCTCCAAGATCTTGAACAAGCTACTGAACTTGGGGATAGATGATGAGAAAACTACGAATCCTTTTTTACTATTGCTAAACACCTCCTGAAATCCACCGCAATTTTCCGAACACTCAAGTATCTARGGGATTTCCAACAGATTTACACGCGAGTGCRACGACGAACAGGAGGGTGCACCTACAGTGAACGGTAAGATGGTGAGCGAACCGTGTAGATGGGAAGAGATCTCCAATCGGATGAAGGAGGTGGGAGTGGTGAAGGATGCAGAAAATTGCAGGTGTAAGTGGGATCAGGAGATGTGTCATTATCGCAAGATACATGACTATCAGGGGGGCTCTGGAACGCCGGATTTCTTTGCTATCTGCTTTGAGAAGCGAAAGAAGCGCAAAATACCGTATTGCATGCGGAGGGAAGCGTACGACGTTTTCGACGAGCTGTATGGGAAGGAGGACGAGTCTATCAGCCTCCTCATCTGTCAGAAACGGAAGTTGGGTACGCGGCCTCCGGAGGAGGTTCTAGCGGCGTGGAGAGGAGCACTGCAAACGCTGGTCAAGCCAGGAGACGGAAAAGCATTCGCGAGAAGGTGGGCAAGCCACGGGGTGAAGGAGAAGGAAAAGCATTCGCGAGAAGGTGGGCACCGGCATGTCCGACTCCATCGACGCACACGGAGCCGCCTTGACACCTGCCCTCGATCGGGCGTTTCACAGGCAGGATAAGTCGGACGACAGGTTGGTCTGTGCTCATGCTGTTGGTGGAGAAGATGGGTGCGAATGCCAATGTCATCACCGGGGCCATAGCCAAGAATCAGGGATGTTCAGACGCCGGCCCATCTTGAAGGCGTAATGAATCAACAGCACTGCTGTGCTCGTTCCGACTGCTGCAACGCAGTGTTGCTGTGTTGAAGAGCACCACCCAGCAAAGCAAAGGCTTTTTGTTCCCAGATTTATTTCTTTTTTGTTTCACTCTCCGAAATATGTATATATATGTGACAGATCTTTCTTTGTTTCGTGGATGTTTTGCGGGCTTGTGATGGGGTGTGAACCGACAGTCTGTAGAGTTTTCCATCTGGTGTGGGTGAGTGATAGTCTACTTTGATTTTCCTGATGAGTCGGTGAAACTCCGACGAAACAGTTTGTCACAGCCCCTCGTTTGTTGTCCTCTTCTCTCTCT